CTTTTTGATCCAGACCAAAGCAGTGGAAAAGCTCATATCCAATATTCATTATTTGTCCTGAAATAACTGCTTGTAACGCCATGAGAATTCTCTTAATTTCCCTTTTCCCCACCCCTCTCACTTCAAACTTAGCTCCATCCTTTTCTAAGAAGAATCTCATTTAATAATAGTGCTGGAGAGAACTATTCCATTTTAATGAAAACCAACAACTGATGGTAGGATTTGATGTTACAAACTGGGTAACATTTCCAAATCAGTCTATTGTGCGAGTCAAAGTTGGAAAGCTGGATCCTTGGGCTCCTCCAGGCAAAGAATTGATCATTCAGGGTGAACGTGTTGTTTGGCGTGCCAAGTTTCATCAGGTGAGATAGAAATAACTGCAAATAATTACTTCTACATTGTTTCTTTAAAATATGTATTTGATCAAAATTGTGGTATAGATCAGCTCCTTTGACAGCAGCAAGTAAAAATGGGATATTAACATATCACAGTATTAGCATGAATACATATATTGTTGATTTAATTTAATTTCATCTTGTTTCATCCCAAGTCAGTTAATTTTTATACTACCAAGACAAGTTAAATAACTGTAATTTATTATATATTAACCTTCAGATTTCTGATGCCCTCATTAAAATACTGGGTGATGCTTTGAGAGTTTTGCCTTAGATCAGAGAACACTGGTATATGGAGATGAAGCATTCCCCTCCTCATCAACACAATGCAACACAACTTAGCTTTGATGTTTCTAGGGGTGCTTAGTCAACAGCTTGGACAGCAGGATTCCAGCTTGCCATCAATCCAAAGTGTTGCATTTCAAAGATTAGTCAGTTCAGTCCTGTTCTAACTGGCTGCAGTACCACAGTTTCCTCCAGTCCTTGGAATGTCCTGGCTCACACTGCATGATCCATTGATCTCTTGGTTCAGAAAGGAATTGCTCTTCACTTCAGATTATTGCTGGAAAAACTGCTGGGCTGAGCAGGCAAGTGTGCCTCTACCCCAAGAACAATCCACATCCTGAACCCTCCTATCAAAAAAGTATCAAGAATTTCAGGATGTGTCTGATTAAAAACTAAACCAAACAAAATACAAGATCAACTGCCTCCACACTGCCGCTATGATTATACTATTGAGTAGAGTCCTGGAGATCCCATTCTGACTGGTCGAATTTACTCACTCTCAGAACCAGAACTTGAAGCTTTAAGGGATTTCCTGAAGAAGAATCTCTAGTGTGGTTTCATGTGGTCATCAACTTCTCCACCCAGGACTCCTGTGCTTTTCCTGTTAGGAAGAAGTGTGGAGAACTTTACCTTTGTTGTGACTGCCAAGCCCTCAGCTGGATCACTATCCATAACCAATATCCCCTGCCACTCATTTCTGAACTTCTGGGATTGCTCCAAACAGCTAAGGTATTCAACAAGCTGGAACTCCATGGAGCATATAATTTGGTCTGGACCTGGGCAGGAGATAAATGGAGCTCAACATTCCAAATAAGTTCTGACCATTATGCATTTTGGGGTCTGTAATGCCTCTGCTATTTTCCAACATATTAAGATATGTTGCATGATTATTTGAACCAATTTGTCATAATTTATCTTGATGAATTTCTGATATGTTCTCCTAATCAGAGAGTACATAATGCCTATGCATAGGCAGTACTGCAGTGGTTGTCAGAATATCAACTGTATACCAAATTGGGAAAATGTGCAATGAAGTCTACTCTGCTGTAGACTTTATAATTTACATGACTTCACGACTAACAACAACAACACACTCTAAACAAATAGGTATTCCAAAGAGTTGAGACCTACTGAGTTCAAAATCTTATTTTCTCTACAGTTACTATATATTTCAGCCCTAATTAAGATTCCATTTTCCTAACCAATGATAAAAAGTCCCATGTTTAATAGTAAAGTGTATCGTCTTTTTCCTTAAGAGATAAAGTCCATCTGTCCATCTCTGTACAGTGCAATATCTTCTTTAAAATCAAATCTTCAGTTGACAACTCTTCATTCCTCCAGTGTTGTGCAAATACAATCCTCGCCACTGTGATTACATGCAAAGTCAAATATATACTTTGTTTATCGAAGTCGTCAGGGAGAATGCTTAACAAAAATATTTCTGTTTTAAATATTACAGGTCTCTGCAACATTTCCTCAAGCCATCTATGTATTTTAACTCAGGGGTTTTTTGTTTGTTGGTTTTTTGCTTTCTCACAAGTCCACCACATATGGTAAAAGGTACCAGGTTTTTGTTTACATTTCCAACACCTATTTGACATATTTGAAAACATTTTAGCTGATTTATTTGGTGACAAATACAATTTGTAAAACATTTTATACAAATTTTCTTTATAGGAGGTTGCCAGGGTTATCTTAATATTTCTTTCCCACAGCTTTTGCCATTTCTCCAATTCAATATTATATCCAAAGTTTTGTGCCCATGATATCATAGTTTCCTTAACTTGTTCATCTTCAATTTTCATTTCTAAGAGAAAGTTACCCAATCTTTTAATCATTTTTTCATCTAATTTTAAAATTACTTGATCAAACATAGTGTGCTCCTTATAAAAACCATACATTTTAGAGTCTTGATTGTATTTGCACTTGATGCCAACAAGAAAGATCAGTACTCTGTTCTTGAAATTCTTGATTTGATTTCAATCTTCCATCATTATCCAGAATATCATTATACATCACAATCTTATTAAAATTCAGTGCATTTGGATATACAAAAACTTCCATGGTAGAAAGCCATCTCAGTATCTTATTATAAAGTTTTATCTTTAGTTTTTCCCAAACTGAAATCAATGAGTTTATAATATAATGGTTTTGAAAATGTGAGAAATGTAAAAGCCATGGATACCACATAAAAGTATGCTACCCCATTTGTAAGTCGTGACCTTCAAGATATAAAATTCTTGTTTCTTAATGTTATCCATTCTTGTTTCTTATTGTTATCCATTCTTTTAACCATAATAAAGTACATGCTTGATAGTTTAATAAAATTAAACAATACCATCTAAAACCACACATAATCCTACTAGTATACACTGTGAATACAGGAGTGTAAGATAAACAATAATAAGAACAATAAAACCATTGGTGAAAAGCAAATAGCACTTAGCAACACATGAAAGAAGACATACTCTGGACCTTGTTTTTTTGACAGGACAGGAAGATGGTGATCTGGAAGTGAGAGGTTTGACCTTAACCCCTTTGTCATGGTCAAATCACTTCCTTGTGAGGTTTAAACATGGGGCCAGTTTCTCCCTCTGTAAGTATGTGGACCTGATTAAAATGGTCTGCCCTCGGAGTCTTATGGATCCTAATGGATTACTGTGGACTCTGGGGGAGTTTCCAGTTGATCTGTCTCGTGCTCCTGTCGATACCCTGGTCAATCTGTGGAACAGATGTTTTATTTTGGACCAACCTGGCATTCAGAAGCAGCAGCAGCACCAAGTCAAAAGGCCAATTGATATCCCTATATGGTATTGTCCAGCTGGTGGAAAAAACAGAAGAGGGGACAGATATCTGCCTCCCCATCTTCTGCAAAGACTTGTTAAATCCCCAGCACTGTACTTTCCTGCCCACAACCACCCCATGAAGATGCCTGTCTGTTCCCATAACAGCAAAAATCAGAATATAGAAAAATATAAAAGATGCTGTACCAGTCAAACAAACCAACAACACTATTCACAGTAAAACATGCACACATACATACATGAATTCTCTCTCTCTCTCTCTCTCTCAGAGTACATTCCAATATTACCCACCCTCCCTGTCATCAAGAGCAAGAACCCCTAGCCCAACCCACCCCCCAGCTGGTCCCTTTGGCTGCCCACCTTTGTCCACAGCTGGTGAAATAAGGCACACTGATGCTGCCCCGCCCTGCCCTCCATGAGTGCAACCCCCCGTCCCCAGTCTCCCTTCTCATAGGAATCAGGAACAGGGGAGAGTGTGGGAGGTAGAAGCAGCAGGGGGTGGATCAGAACACAATCCTTGTCCTGATGGTAGCAGTAGTGGTAGCAGTGTCCTCAGGAATTCCATGGAGCAGCACAGCATTGGGCAAGTGGGCAAGCAGGGAGGTGGTGAAAGCTTTTAGATTCAGGTAATTTCAGTGCCTTAAATCTTTAAATCTCCCTTGGATTGTCTGCTACTCTCTATTCGGAGGGCTTAATGCTATTACTACTTGAGGCCGAGATACAGTGCAGTAGTCTGGCAGTTGACAGGCATGTCGAATCTGTTCTGCCTTCACTATCACCATCCTATAACAACTGTTCCACAACTTTAATACAGCATCATCAGGCCAATTTTGTTGCCCACAGGCCCTCAGCAGGATTGAATAACTAAAGTGTATAAAGCTTATAACCTCGGACACTGTTCAGCCAAACGACTGAGGGGAGATATGAAAAAAGGTACAAAAATAATGCATGATGTGAGAGACATGATGTGGAGAGACATTTTCCTTCCTCTCCTATAATGCCATAGAGCTGATTGGTAGAAGATTCAAAGCAGATAAGAGGAAGTGCTTCTTCACACAGTGCGTCAAGTATGGGGTGGGTTCCACAAGACTGCAGCTTCTGGACTCCATAAGATGCTGAAAAAAGGGGTGCTGCAATGACATCTTCAAGCCCCACAGGTCCCTTAGTGTGCATCTGGAAGCCACCACAAATACTAAATTGGTGTACCCCCTCATCACCAACCACACACAAAGCACGCAGAATGAATCCTGGAGTATGCAGAGAGGTTTTTCGAACCTAGTCCATTATCCACCTCCAGAAACGCCTTACGAGCATACTTTGGGAGGGGCCATCTGAAAATGAGCACTAACATCTTGAGAGAGATGAGGAGTCGATTGGGCAGAGAACTCCAGCCTCCTGAAGAGGTGAGCCTGAGAGTCTGCTGTCGCAGTTGTAGAGTGGCTCTGGGATCTCTGAGGGTGAGCCTGGTTCCACAGCATTCCTCACCCCCAGGAAGAGGTGCAGAAGGACTTAGAAAGACGGCTCTGAGTGAAGAAAGCCAGAGAGGGTTCAACATTTTGCTTTGTGAAATCTCAAAGACTTATATGTAAAATGAAGATGTCTGGCAAAGAAATGCTGGTGACACTGTTACTGCTGGGAGGGAGAAACTTGGCTCACAACTGCAGGTCAACCTGCATTTGAGCTCATAAACGCATCCAGTTTGCTGCAGATCCAGGGCAGTTTCGTGTGACATCTGGCAGCAGTACCCTCATGGAAAGAGCTCAGGAAAGTGCAGTCTCCCCCGTTGCTGATCACCTGCAGCCTGGAAGACACAAGACAGACCCCACAGCTTGACTCAAGAGTGAGGTAGTTTGGAAAGTTGCAAATTGATTTCAGGAGGATACTGCGCATGGTGGGATGCATGAAAAGGACTCTTCAATGCTATATCCAGATGGGTCAGTCGAGGAATAATCTTTCTTTTTTTCTTTTTCATATATATATATATATATATATATATATATATATATATAAAAGAAGTGGTCACATGAGTGTGGTGTGGTGGTTAGAGTGTTGGAGAGGGTCTTTCCTAGACTCCACCCCACCCAGCCACAAAGTTCACTGGGTGCCCTTGGGCCCATCACTCACCTCAGCCTAACCTACTGCATGGTATCTTTGTTAAAATCAAACAAGGACAATTAGATAACCTACCTTGGGTGCCTTGCAGGAAAAAACAGGCAGGATATATCCAACACTCTAACCACCACACCACACTCACGTGACCACTTCTTGAAAGTCACCCAGCCAGAACGAAGTATTGCAACATGAGCAGGCCTGGTGGACCTTGGCAGAAGCCAGCCACATGAGGAACCACCCCTATGTGGGCCAGGAATGTAGACTCTTATTGACTAATCCAACTCCCAGCTGAAGTTAGTTTACGGGTGTCTGTGGAAAAAAACCCAGTCCAGGGAAACAGAAACTCATATAAACATGTAGAATGTCATGCATACATAGCAGACATTTAAAATTTTGATTTTTTCAGGCAAACTGTGCTATTTCCACAGCCACACAGGCCCACCTGCTTATAGAAATGGTCTGGATGGATCACAGCGTCCATCCAAGGGATCCTATAAAGGGCAGATTTGGGCATGCACAAAGAGGATGCTGTTCAGAAGCACAAAGAAAGGACTCTTCCACTTTCCCACTTCTCATGAAGCATCCTGCACACGGATTCACTCTCAGGTTTCATCTGTAGTAAGAGCTGAGACAAGCCTCACAAGTGCCAACAGAGAAATGGGAAACTGGATGCACACACCACTTCTGCTTCATTCAGTTGGGGTTGCCTTCTGATTGTTTAAAGTTATTTTTCAATTAAAATAATATTAGCCTCTTTAAGTTACATGGTAGGAAACATATGTTTGTCAACAAGTGCTCACTAAGCAGGCACAGCCAATCCCAACTTCTTGGTCAGTGTGCCTATAAGGACATGATTATTGTTCCATAGGCCACATTTGGGTGTGGACCCAAATGATACACGCGATGTGCCAGATGGCCATTGCTGTCTATTTTACGCAAAGGTCTATGTAAAGAAAGCAACTTTCTGTTGTTACTGATGCAGTTTCACAGTTTGGAGGCACATAAAATAGTTTTGATAAACTGAAAACTGAAATAAAAGAGAAAATGAATGAATTTAGGAAGATTGGATGATCATGGCTTGGTAGAATAGCAGTATTTAAAATGAAAATCTTGCTTAAGGTACTGTTTTTGTTTAAGATGTTACCAATTAAAATAATTGATAAATGATTGAAAGAATGGGAAAACATGATTAATAAGTTCTGTAATCGGGATAAAAACAACAACGATAAATTTTAAAAAAGATGGTCTGGATCACAGGGGGACTAGGTATTCCTATCATAAAGTTGTATTAAGTAGCAAATCAAAAGAGGCATATACTGGACATTATATTACCCAATATGGCAATATGGTTAAACTTAGAATTTTCTCAACTGGAAGGATCCTTGGCAGTTTTTTCAAATATCATAACAAAAATATTATTTAAAAGGTAGAAATTGCTTTCCGTAAAAATACAGTACAAATTTGGAATAAGTATAAAGAAAAGTTTATGCCATCAATCTCATCATTTTATACAATTACTGAATTAGAAGGGTTTCCATCAAATTTGAGAAAAAAATTGGGGAAGTAGTAAAGAATAAACAAATTATTAAGGTAAAAGTTTAGTTAGAGAAAATGAATAAAACAGAAAGATAAGGGCACTATTAGGAAAAGAAACATTAACTTGCTTTAATTTGATCCAATTAGAATGTTGGACTAGAGACTGAAAGAAAAGAAAGAAAAGAAGCAGATACAGAGATTATATTAAATATGAAGTAGAAAAGGAAATCAAGATGAAAGGGAGTAACATCTTATGGTGATACTGTTAGAAGGGGAAGATCAATATGATTCACTTCAATACGATTCAACATGGGAAATAGAACTGGGAAAGAATATTAGTAATGAAGACTGGGAAAATATTTGGACTAAGAGGGTACTACAATGAATGTCAGTAAGAATAAGGGAAATTAAGTAAGGAAATGGTGCTTAAACCCACTAAAGTTGAATTGCATAGATAGCAAATATTCCAGTTTATGTTGAAGATGTGACCATGGAGTGGGTTCATATTTTCATATGTACTGGGAATATATGTAATGAAGGTTTGGAAAGAGGCTTTTAAAGACAGTAGTGAAATATTAAATATTGATATATGTCCTGTGATTGCATTATTTTCAATATTTGATATGAAACAATGGAGTTGGAATAATATAGAATTAACAAATATAACAGCTGCAAGGTTAATCATAGCAAAGAAATAGAAAATAAAAGGGTATATAAAGAAAAATAATTTTAATAAGATTTGGGGTTCATTTATTGAATGTGTTTTAAAAGGGAAAGCATTTGAACCTTCACCAGAGTTGTTGCAATTTTGGAATGAAGTTTCTTGAAAGAATTGTTGAAAGAGTTTAACATGTACCCAATGGTTATGGTGATAGGAGGCACAGTGTTTTTATGATTTATTTTATTTGTATGTTTAATGTTGTATATTCTCATTTTAATTTTAAGTTTTCCTTTCAATTGTATTTTACATTGTAATATTAACAACAATTTATTTTTAAAAGGATGCACTTAGCGGTCAATTTCTTCAGCACTTACTCTGCTTCACCTCCTTCATGGTGGCCATCAAAGATACTCTGGCTGTGTGAAGCTGTTTCACAGATCTGTCATAGAGCACAGGGACTGGATGCAGTATTATTAAATGAGGCCAACAGGTTCCTTGAAAACTTGGGCTTCAGGTGATTGTAAGTGAAGAAGTCTAAGCAAGAACCTAAATTTATTTATTTACTTATTTAAAACTTTTATATGCCGTCACCACATGCCTCGGCATCTCTGCTATATTATTAACTGTGACAATGTAATCGAGCCCAGTAACAGTGAATGGCTGACACTGAAGTTGCAGCAGCTTCACCAATGAAGACCAAAAAGAGAGAACTCACGTTGAATTGTCTCCATTTGTTGTTTTCCGGTGCTGACCTGAGTCTTTCTGGAGGCCAATCCAAAATGGGGGTTTGCCTTTGAGACGCATCACAACATCCTTTTGAGATGAAAAGCATGGACGTTAAGAGAACTGACTTGCAGTATCAGCAGGCAAAATATACATCAACTTTGAGAAATTGAGAATGTATTATTGCATCGAGGAAAATGTTTATAGCAGATGGTTTCCTTGATCTAGCCCAGGAGTTTGGATTGGCCTAGACTAAGTGCAAATAGTCCACCCAGGATTTATCTGAGACCACTGAAAAAAGGCCAAGTCTGCTTCTGGCTATTTACACAAAAGGAACTATAAAATAAAACTGCATCATGAGTGAGGAAGCAATGGCCCTTCTGGTGTTGCTGGACTCCAACTCTCATCAGCCCCACCAACATGACCTGTGGTCAAGTATTATGGGAATTGTAGTCCAGCAATGTCCGGATGCCCAAAGCTTCTCCATTCCTGCTTTACATCTTCTATCCTGTATGAATGCAGACTGTTCCTATGAAAAGTCCAAGGTCTCTGACCATAACACAGAGGACCACTTGACGGGCAATTACAGTGGGTGCAACCCAGCTTATTTTTACTAGGAGAGGACTTGATAGAAATGTTAGCAGGGCACCACTGACAGAGTCATAGACTAGCTTTAAGGCAGAGGTGGGGAACATGCACCATCCCTCTAGATGCTGTTGGGCTTCCTTGACCATTCCTGCTGGCAAATACGAGCCGTAGTCCAAGAGAATGTGGATGACTGCAGTCCCCCATCCCTGCTCTACAGGGTGGTTGCAGCTACTAAACATTTTTGTCCTATGTCACTGCAGCATGTGCTGTTCGTAAGACCTATGCGATACGCTTATGTTGCCGCTTGACAAAAAGCATATTGTTTGCATACCCTGTTTTGCATGCATTCTCAGACATATCACCCATTTCCATACACTAACGTAATACTTGAGAGGCAAACTATATATTACAAAGAAACACAACAATGCCCTAATGGGATTCTGAAACAACAACAAAAGAAACTGCAGGCCTCTGGAAGCTGCTTTGTGAGCAGAAGAGGTATGAGCCTTCTGACCTCTTTCTTCACTGGCCATTTTTCTGCTCAGACCTGCACAGCTGCAGCTGCTTTTCCCTCCAAGGGGTTCCAAATGTGTTTTTACTAGACAAGTACTGTTCTTCCATTGTTGGGTCACAAATAATAAGCAGTCCACTGCCTGACCTCATGTGGGCTGTGGAACCGTGGTCATTATTTTTTTAGAACTGTTTTTAAACATTACCTGTGTGGCGTGTGAGCATGCTTGCAAATGTATGCAGAACTGGCATTTCTAGGGCATGGAAGGGATGAAAAAGATACCCCTTTTTGTTGAGTCCCAGCTTGGGATGTTGCAAACAAATGCCTCTCTTTGATTACTCATGAGCAGGTGAGAGGCAACCTGCAGAGTGAGTGAGGCCGACTGCCACTCTTGGTGGGTACCCTGGGGCCAGCCTAGCTGGATTCTGAAGAAGATGGCCTTGATACAGAGGAACTCTGGGAGATCAGGCTGAGGCACAGGGCTGCAAAGTGCCTTCAAGGTTCCCAGGGAAACCAGGAGAGCAGGAATATTTTTAAAGGGATGGAATGGGTTGAAAAAGAGTAGGAAGAACCATTGCCTTGCCTGGATCCTGACAGCATGGCAAGAGGTCAAGAGAGATGAGCTCCCTGGCCGGAGGGCTTGCACCAGCCTAGCAGCTTCACCCTTCAACGGCAGGAGCCACCCTAAGGGTGGTGTTCCAGAATTACTGAAGGGGAAAGGTTTTGGGGAGAAGTCCCTAGTTTGAATTCAACAATCATTCTTAGTATGCATAGAAGCTTATCTTCCAGCTTACTAGAGAGCTTTTAGAGTTGCTTTGTCTTGTAGCTGCAAAGTGCCAATAAGTATCCACTTAAGGGCAAGAAGAGGAGGGCTGAGTTCATGACAAGCCACACTAGAAAGACCCATTATTGATGCCATTGCCCCAAACTTATCATGCCCCCTTCCCAAAAGCTCACTGCACCTATTTGGGTATGGGAACAGGGAAGCAGCACTGGAAATGGAAACTCCTTAGAGAAGCAACTATTCCTACACAGAGGAGATGCTGGGTCTAGAATGCTAGTTACCCCAGTTTACACTGATGGTACCCCGGCTACTGTCCCCTCCCTCTCCCCATATCCCAGGTGAGTGTGTGGGCCTTGTGATGGGGGGCACAGGATGTGGAGGTGGCAGAATGGGCTAGATTTTGTAGAAAATCTGTCATTCAAGGGGTGGGCAACATGTGGCCCTCCAGATGTTTTGGTCTGCAACCCTTATTGAGCATAGCCAATGGCAATGGATGATGGACATGAGCTCAAGAGTTCACTCTCTTGAGTTCTCTACAAACAAAATGACCACAACACAGATTTGCCAACATTGATTCAATGTGTTCAAGGTCTGCAGCCTGACTTAGTCCTCACATATTTTTTGCCTGCAAATGGTTGCCTCACCCCCTTCCAGTACAGCAAACCTATATAACAAGCAAGATGATGTGTGGGCAAAAGAATTCTGGCGATTACCTTTTCCTCGCTAGCACAGACAGCCATCAGGGAGGCATTATGTGACAGACAGAAGTCTTGGCTGGAAGTCCAGTTCCTTTTCTCTTCTGAAAAGTAGTAGCATTTCCCCTGATAACCAATCCACTTATTTGGACATGCTGGACCAGAGAGGGGTTGCTCAGAACCTTTGGAAAGCAACACTAAAAATGGAAAAGGGTATTAAACTTTTGCCTGCCCAGCACTCCTCACACTTCAGCATAAGCACAGGCATGGCAACAGACATGGCCATACATGTCACCATAACCCAAAGTAGCACATTGTCTGATGCTGATTGGATTAATCCAGGGTTGCTTTCCATGGGTGCAAGTGCCACTGCCCCCCTCCTCTTGTTCTTGCTTGGGAGAAAGAGCTGCTGGCACATGCCAGCCGCCCCAGCTTGCTGCCCACCAGAGTGCCTTTCTCCCAAGAAGAAACTGGAAAAAAAGATGGAATGGCTGCACAATGCTTCTGACTGGCAACTATGCAAGACCTTCATCTGGAAGGGCCGTGAATGGAGACCACCTACCCATCTGGTTGCCTCTGCCTCCACACATGCCCCATGTCAGTCAAAGGACATGTGATGCATTCTGTCTCTGCGCTTCTGCAAAACATGCAAATGTATGTATACTCCCAAGTATACTTTACTATGCCAAAAGGTCTTCAGCTACAGGTACCTCCTATATTTATCACATTTCATCAGTCTGCACTGGTATTATCACCCCCATATCAAACACCCAAGGCTTACAGAAGTGTGCCTAGAGAGATTGAGGCAGAGGTAAGCTTTTGTACCAAGAACATCCTTGTTTACAACACTGTTTTCCTACTTCAACTTTTCTTCTTGGTGAGTGAGCATTTCTCTTCACTCTTAACTCCTATTTTCTATGAATGTTCCCATTTGGTTTCTTCCAGTTTTGCTAAACTGGAAACAGTGGGAAGGCAATTAAGTGCACCAACAGCAGAGCTGACATAATTCTTCCAGAATTCTGGGGAACTGTTAGGTGAGTTGCTGCTGTTGGTTCCATCAAGTCAGCCTCAACTCAGAGAGACCCTATAAACAAACGCCTGCCAAAATATCCTGTGTTTGACATCCTGTTTAGCTCTTGTAAACTCAAGACTGTGGCTTCATTTATGGACTCAATCAATCTCATATTTGGTTTTCCCCTTCCTCCTCTTCCTCTTCTTTACTTTGACTTTCCCTAGCATAAGTCTCTTGCCTTCTCATGATGTTCTCAAACTACGACAGCTTCAGTTTTGTCATTTTGCGTATTTGCAAAGCCATCCTCTAGCACCATGTTTCAAATGCATCTGTTCTCTTTCCATCCACTTGCTTCACTGTCCAGCTTTCACACCCATTATTGTCATCAGGAATACAAAAGTGGGCCTCAGGTTGAGCCTCAGGCCCTTGAACAACTTCCATCGAAATAAACCATTTCTTCTTCTGAGTCTGAATCAACAAAATTGGTGTGGCTCATATCAGTGCTGTTTTTGTAAGAAAAAAAGGTGCCAAAACTCATGAAATTATTTACCTTTCGCATGTAGTCAATCACTGTACACACACCGACACACGTCAGTTGTGTAACGAAATGTGACGGTCGCCGCCCGCAGCAAGCACTCAGCGCGCAACCACATGACGAATCACAAGCCAAGCAGCGCCACAAGCCGAGCAGTGTCATCACAACCAGCGCAGACGAAGTACGCATGCTTCGGATTTGACACACAAGCAGCCTGCATGCATCGTTTTAATGATTGTGCCGCCGACCTACAATTCAAATCCACGTGGACCAAACATCAAATTTCCACAAGTTACTTTTAAAACTTGCAAAATCTGTCAAAAAAATGTGCTGGAACTCCGTTCCGGTGCTTTCTATGACAAAAAAAGCACTGGCTCACATCCTGTGAGAACACTCTCCGGAGCCCGCCAATATACTTCCTCTCAACGGTATGTAAAATCTTTCCTAATTTCAATTTCTTCAGCATGGGAAACTATTGAACAGGTAGGCAGATAAAATATATTCTAGTCCGAATCCTTTGCCTGTAAGGAACCATTCTGTTTCTCCACATTCCATCCTTACAGTAGTTTCCTGTCCACGATGCAGGTAATGCATCAGGGTAATCAAGTGCTGACACACCCCCATTTCTTTCAGGACCCTACATAGCTTCACATGACCCACACAGTCCAAGACTTTGCTGCAGTGTATAAAGCATCTCCCGAAATTCTTTGCTGTGCTCCAGCAGCCAATGTATATTTGATGAGAAGTCTTCCTTTTTGGAATCCTGCTTCAGCTTCAGGCATTTCTCACTCCATATAGAATAGAATTCTTTGCTGCAATTTCTTGCACTCCACTGCATGGGAAATTGGTGCAATGGTGCTATAGTTGATGCATTTCGTAGCACCTCCTTTCTTGGAGCTTGGAATAAAAGTTGAACAAAACAATAGCCCACAAACTGAAAATTTTCTTCATGTTTGTTGACATATTCTTGTTAGATTGTGGACCAATTCATTCTCTGCAGCTTGGAACTGGTGTCCTATCTATTCTGGGAGCTTTATTTCTTCCAAGGGCTTTCAGGGCAGGTTTCACTTTGCTGTCTAACTTTACAGGGTCTTCCTCTTAGGATTCCTCTGTGAAGGAGTGTGTTGTCCTTTCATCTCTTCTCTATAGTTCTTTTCTATCTATCCTTTTCCACCTTCTCTCTATTCTTTCCTCATCAGAAAGTGTGTTGCCCTGTTTTTCTTCTATTTATTTATTTAGAATATTTGTATGTTGTCCTTTCGCAGAGCCTCAGGATGGCGTACATAAATAAGAAGAAAAAAAAAAACATAATACAAATAAAATGCAGATCCACCCTGGCTGCCGATTCTAGCATCCAGGCTTGAATTTCCCTTTTGTTTCCTGGATCTTCTAGAAGAGGTCTTCTTTTCCCCCCTCTTTATTGTTGTCTTCTATTTCTTTGCACTGGTCATTGCAAGGATTGTTTTTGTCTCTGTGGGATAGTTGCTGAAAAGTCACATTCAGGATTCTGTCCCTATTTCTGACAACTGTTGCTTTTGCTTCTCTCCTGTCCTTAGCAAATTAATAGTGTTTTTGTCATCATCCACCTAGGCTTTTCTTTTTACTAGAGTAATTGTCCTTTTTGTATTTGGCTCTAGTACTGCCTTTAGTCCACAGTTCTTCTAGTTCATGGTCTATTGCCTTCACTTGTGCAAATCTATTCTTTATGTGTTTTTTTTTAATTCTTTGGGAATGTTATTAAAGTTATATTTCAGTGCCATGCTTCTCTTTATTTGTTTATTTATTTGATGTATACCACACCTTTTTCTTACAAAAAACTTGAAGCAGCCTACAAAGTTCTCATCCTGCTGCTTACCATCTTATCCCCACAACAACCCTGTGAGGTAGGTCGGGCTAAGAGTCTGTGACTGGCCCAATGTCACCCAGTGGGGGCACCATAGCTGAGTGAGGACTAGAACCCAGAACGGCAGAGTCCCAGTCCTGCACTCTTTACCACCCCACCCCACCCCACCCCACCCCTCACTGTTAGTGATTCTTTTTAAGGTTCACCTGGATTTTCAATATTTATATTCATGGTCACTATGATTAAGGAGAAGGAAGGAAAGGTTTTTCAAGGCAATTCAAGTAATTCAAATACTGGGCAACTTACCAAAAACAAAGGTAGCGAAGATAATATTCCCAAGAAATGATATGGAAAGAAGCATGCCATCTTTGTTTATGTGGCCAAAGCTTCTGCAAAAGGGCATTTGCTATACCAAACAGGGTAAGAAAACAAAGTGTTACTTTTCCAGTGGAAGGGAAATAAAAATTTGAGTTGTGAGTACTTTTGCATGAACTACAGATGAAAACAAGATTTTACAAAGAGGAAAGTTAGATTTTAGGACTTCAAGATCAAAACTGAGGCATATGTTGTAAAACTTCACCTTAAATAAACTTGAGTTTTAAGATACTGCTTTAATGTATTAGTTGGCCAAATTCTATACATTTGCACCTAATTAGCACATTTGAGCTAATTAGGTATGCTGGGGGGCATGGAGAACACTGACAGAACAGATTTGCTTTCTTTTACTAGAGAAGACAAATCAGGAGAATTTATTGGAGTCTATCAGGCTTTAATGAAACATGTTCCCCCACCAGCAGCCTAGCATAGGATTGCTCCCCAAGACTGAAACCAAGATGCTATTATGTTAGAGCACACATTATAGACATTATCTGCAGAGATGCCATGCATGCTTTTGCTCAGGCAGCTGCTCTCTAAACACCCCTCGTCTTTACAGCCTCCACTCAGACTGAAAAGGCATCATTACCTGTTTTGCTTTGTGTTTCACAGGCTTTATGACAGTAATCAGGAGACTCCTTGCTTACTCTTTCCTCAACAGTTATAAGGTCCGACATTTTCTCTCTCTCTCCAAATTCTACCAGTGGATGATCTCTTACAGTCTTTGAGGGAATATGTTGGTCCAGATTCAGTTCCTGACAGGTGCAAAGCTGGAAGCAACAGAGAGATGCTGAAGTCAGGAAAAAAGTGTGGAAGACAGAAATACTAAGCTGCAAAGCCCTACCTGCTTACCTGAATGTAGCCATCACTGACTCAGTAGGAGTTATTGCTCAGTATACATTAATTATTTGATTTATATGCCACTACATTAGGCATTGGTTCTCTGGGTAACTTACAGTCAAAATCAGAATAAAATCACCACTACAGTGAAAACAGTAGTGAAGGACTGCAGTGTAAGTCAACTTGAGAGTACTTTTGCCATTATGCAAAATCATGCTAGTTGTCACTACCACCACCTCAACTTACATTCACAACTAAATCAGATGGAGAGAAACATCAACCCTAAGTCTACATTCTGCAAAGATGACAGTCTGAGTTACTCAGTCGTCCCAGCAGGAGAAAGGAAGAGGCACACAAACTGCCAGGTCCCCTCTTCAGTATGGGAAGAAGGCTGGATTCTCACAAAAATGCATAGACATGTTCATTGCTTACTTCTTAGAAGAGAGACGGTTCTGGGAGCCTTCTCTCCACCCGTCCAAACAATTCCATTTCCACATTCACCATTGCAAGATATATGAAGAACTTTAGTTTTCAAAGAATATTTTGAAAACTAAGGCTCTTCCAATCTTCCTCTTTATCTCTCTAAGATATGATGGAAACAAACAAACATGCAGCCAGGTCCTATTTATATTTCAGCAGAAGCACATGTTACTGATTTCAATAAGATACTTCCCAAGTAGCTCTGGTAGGGCAACTCCATCTTACTGACCCTTACTGAAAACTAAGGGAAGTTTCCAAGAGAGAGGAACCCAAACAGTCTTATCCTGACCCCCAACTGGCAGTGGACTACCTTGCAGGATTGTTGTAACTTTTTCCTCTCGGCCCAGATCCCACCCTGGGGGAGCAGCACTCTCTCACGCTTGCTGCCTGCAGCCGAACCTGCATCCTGAGGTTGCCAGGAGGCAGGACTGCAGGGCTGCATCGCTCTCCATTCCTGCAGCCCTGCTGAGCTGGCGGGGGGGAGGGAGGGATCCGTTGAGGGGAGGGGCCACCCTGCCCGTCCATGCAGCACTCTTCACTCTTACAACATCTGAAGGTGGCCATGGTTAATTAGTTGTCACTCTGTCACAAGTTTTTACTCCCTCTGGAAAGATGCTGCTAGCACTGAAGCTGCTGAAAAGCACGTGTTCTATACTAGTCCAGCCAGCAGGCGATGCTGTCCTCATTCACCCAACCCCCAGTCACTGAAAGGGACCCCAAGCCCCTCCATCTGTGGGTTGCTTTGCTTTATCCTCTTCTCCATTCAAAAACACAGTTTTGTGTAAAGGAGGAAACAACTTCCTTATTCTGCAAACAGGCCTGGCCTAAACAGACAGCAGGATGAGATAGTAAATGGGCTGCAAACATTGCCTGCATATTGAAAGAAAAGTTCTGCTGAAACAGAGCACTGCTCCCGGTCTCGTAAGCCTTCTAGCAGAAACTGTGTGGATGGGATGGTCTGATAGATACGGACTTCAAAAAGTCCCCCAGCAGAGCCTTTTGAGCAAACTAAGCAGAGGTGCTTTTTGTGGATTTGTAACAAAGAACAGAAAGCAGAGATGGAGAGGTTAACAAGTGATGTCCCACAAGAATCTGCATTCCAGATCATAAATGATCATAAATGATCTTGAATTAGGAGCAAGCAGTGAGGTAGCCAAGTTTGCTGATGACACAAATATTAAGGATGCTTAAAAAAGGGGGGGGGCTATGAAAAAGATCTCTCTAAATTGGGAAGAAGGGCATTAACATTTCAAAAGTGCTTTGATGTGAGCAAGTAAAGTGATGCATATTCCAGCAAAAAGTCCCAACTTCATACCTACATTGGTGAGATCTGAGCTAGTCAAGAAGATCCTGGAATTGTGCTGATTTGCTTGATGGAAATATTGCTGTACTAGAAGGCTATTGTGGAAAATGCCATGTTGGGTATAATTAGGAAGGGAAATGGCAACAGCATCCAGTTCTTCAACAAATTGTACTCATGACTTGCTTCTGGGTTTCCCACATCCAGCAGCCTGGATATGTTCATTGTTGCACAAAATTCAAGCAAAAACAAAACAAAAGTGACACATGTAGTTTGCATAAGTATTCACCCCTGCCCCCAGAGCCAATACTTGGTTGTTATTGTTGTTGTTAGTTGTGAAATCATGTCCGACCCATCGTGACCCCATGGACAACATTCCTCTAGGCCTTCCTGTCCTCCACCATCCCTCAGAGTCCACTTAAGCTCACACCAACTGCTTCAGTGTCTCCATCTAGCCACCTCATTCTCTGCCGTCACCTTCTTCATTTGCCATCTATTGTTCCCACCATAAGGCTCTTCTCCAGGGAGTCCTACCTTCTCATTAGGTGGCCAAAGTATTGATATCCGGCCTTCTAAAGAGCAGACAGGGTTGATCTCCTCTAGGACTGACTGGTTTGATCTCCTTGCGGTCCAAGGAACTCACAGGCGTCTCCTCCAGCACCAAAATTCAAAGGTCTCAATCCTTCGGCGCTCATCCTTCCCTATGGTCCAGCTTTCACAGGCATACATTGCAACTGGGAAAACAGTAGCCTTGACTATACGCACTTTTGTCGGCAGGGTGATGTCTCTGCTTTTTAGTATGCTGTCTAGATTTGCCATAGCTTCCTCCCCAGGAGCAAGCATCTTTTAATTTCTTGGCTGCAGTCCCCATCTGCAGTGATCTTGGAGCCCAGGAAAATAAAATCTGTCAGTACCTCCATTTCTTCCCCATCTTTTTGCCAGGAAGTGAGAGGACCAGATGCCATGATCTTAGTTTTCTTAAAATTGAGTTTCAAGCCAACTTTTGCACTCTCCTCCTTCACCCGCATCACGAGGCTCTTTAGTTCCTCTTCACTTTCTGCCATGAGAGTGGTATCATCTGCATATCTGAGGTTGTTGCTATTTCTCCCAGCAATCTTAATTCCAAGTTGTGATTCATCTAGCCCCACCTTTCTCATGATGTGCTCTGCATTTAAGTTAAATTGGCAGGGTGACAGTATACCGCCTTGCCGAACTCCTTTCTCAATTTTGAACCAATCAGTGGTTCCGTGTCCAGTTCTCACTGTTGCTTCTTGACCCACATGTAGGTTTCTCAAGAGACTAATAAGATGATCTTGTACTCCCATCTCTTTAAGAACTTGCCACAATATGTTGTGATCCACACAATCAAAGGCTTTAGCATAGTCAATGAAGCAGAAGTAGATATTTTTCTGGAACTTCCTAGCTTTCTCCGTGATCCCACGTATGTTGGCAATTTGATCTCTATTTCCTCTCCCTCTTTGAAATCCTGCCTGTACTTCTGGTAGTTCTCGGTCCACATACTGCTGGAGTCTAGCTTGTACGATTTTGAGCATCATTTTGCTAGCATGTGAAATGAGTGCAATGGTGCGGTAGTTTGAACATTCTTTGGCATTGCCCTTCCTTGGGATGGGAATGTAAACTGATCTTTTCCCATCCTGTGGCCACTGTTGAATTTTCCAAATTTGCTGGCATATTGAGTGTAGCACTTTTACTGCATCGTCTTTTAAGAAGTTGAATAGCTCAGCTGGAATACTGTCGTCTCCACTTGCTTTGTTGTTGCACAGACTTCCTAAGGCTGAATGGAGACTGTCAGTGAACAGCAACTTTCAAATCTGGCTTCCTATTTTCAATCGGATAACAATTGATAACAATAATAATAATAATAATACCATTACTGCTATTATTACTACTACACTGCATTCATTTCCTGCCTTTTTTCCTTCTTGCAAGGAACCCAGGTGGCTTCCATAGCTTCATTTTAGCTTCACAACAAAACCTCAGTGAGGTAGGTTATCCTGAGCTTCTCTGGACAAAAGTCATCCATTGAGCTTTACAGCCTAGTGAGGCCTGGAAGCCTGGGCTTTGGCTAGGCCGTTCTAAGTCATCCAAGTTCTTGCATTTAAACCACTCCAGTGTTACTTTGTGTGCTGTCTTGCTAGAAAGTGAACCCCTACCCCAGGCCCTGGTCCTGTGCAGATGGAAACCATTTTTCATCTAGAATTGCCCAGCATTTGTCCCATCCATCTTGCCCTCCATCCTGACCTGTTTTCTACTCTCTCCAAGGAAAGGCACCACCACAACATGCTGCTGCCACCACCATGCTTCACCATGAGGATGGTGTTCTCAGGGCAATGCACCCAGCTGAAAACCATGCAGTGTTTGATAGCAAGACCCAAACACTTCAGTTTTGTCTCAAGAGCAAAAAAAAAAAAAAACTTTCTCCCATGTTTAATGTGTCCCCAACATGTATTTTTGTAAACTCCAATTGGGCTTTGATGTGGCTTTGTTTCAACAGTACCTTTATTCTCGCCTGTCTTCCATAAAGCTCAGTTTTGTTGAGCAACTGAGTGATAGTTGTCCCATGACCTGTTCTCCAATCTCAGCTGTAGATCTCTCCAGCTCCAGCAGAGTTATCACTAGCCTCTTTGTTGCTTCTCCTCACCTAGAAGGCTTCTCTAGGCAGACTCTAGGCAGACTCACAGTTGAGCAATTATCTTACCACTTTGTAATCATGGATTTAGCTGTGCTCTGGGGATGTTAATAGTTTGGGATTTCTTATAACACAACCTGATATGTCTGTTCTATGAGTTTGTTTTGATAGCTTCTTGGTTTTCATGGTGTGTGTGTGTGTTTAGATATACCCTCTAACAGAAAAAGGTATATTTAATCTGAGAAATGCATACAAGTGGATTTTAGTCAACTATGTATCACACAATATGTGACCTTTGGAAACAGTGGATTGTACCAGAGCTTATTTAGGGATGTTGCAGCAAAGAGGCTGAATGCTTATGCAACCAGCAAGTACCACCTTGTTCTCATTTTTGTGTCACTATAAAAATATCTTGCACTTTCACCAAGCTGAATATTTTGTACATGGTGTGGTAACAATGGATCTAATGATCTATTTCAGTTCCAGGTTACTACACGAAAATGTGAAAAAGTCGAAGAGTGTGAATGTTCAGCCACTGCTGGCAGAACTTCAGGGGCATTGGAAACTGCTCCGGAGAAGTCTGAAGGGGAACTCTGAGCCAGTGTGGTGTAGTGGTTAAGAGCATGGGACTGAAAGTCAGGCGATTTGGGTTCTGGTCCCCGCTGAGCCATGGAGCCAACTGGGTGGCTTTGGGCCAGTCACAGACTCTCAGCCCAACCTGCCTCAAAGGGTTGTTGTGGGTAAAATTGAGAGCAGTAGGAGAATGATGTAATTCGCTTTGACTTTGTAAGAAATAAGGTGGAATAGACATCTAATAAATAAACAAATATTTGCTCTGCAGCAGATGTGTCAGAGAATTGGGGAGACGCCTAGGTGTTGCTATGCCAAATGAAATGTTAGGAAACTCTTCTTACACATGGAACTTCCTACCCAGGGATGCATCCGCTTTTCTCATTAGGTAAGGTGGCTTTCTTTCGCTGCTGCAGAATCTCTACGTGGCACCACAGTATTGCAGAACAACACAAAAACTTCTTCATGTCAGTTTCACAAACAAAGCCACAAGGTCCTTGTTTCGAGGACTCCTTTACGTGGTGCACTAGTCATCCCTTCCGCAAAAGTTTACTGAACTTTTCCCCAGTTGTTGACCTCCAAAGCTTCACCCAAGAATTCCGGCATTTTCTCTACGTGTGCGTGTGTGTTAACTACAAGCTGAAACAAAAGCAACCGCCATGCTTTTAATTGGTTAAAGTGATATATAGAGAAGCGGAGAGCTCTAAACCCAAGGGTGGGGGATAAAACCGTGCCAAGGACGCATTTTCCTCCCGCAACGAAAACAGGAGAAATAGCCTCAGTTCAAGCAGAGAAGGCCGAAGGAAACTCGGGAAACAGGCGCCTTCCCCAGGTGACAATGGCAGGTATCGCCT